GAAAAAGAAATAAAAGAAGATGTTAAAAGCTTTCAATGACCGCAGATGGCAATGTTCCAAAAGGTACAAAATACGCAAACATTGCGTACACTGACCTATTGCATTGTTAAAAAACTTGTAGTTATTGATCTTTCTCGAGAAACTTATGAGTATCAGGTTATCAGCCGTGAATATCGTGTACGACAGACGAACGGAGACGCATAGTGTACATCTGACTCTACTGTTGGTTATAAAGTTTCAACTTAATGATACTTCAATTTTTTTTCTTTTTTTCTTCCGTATTGAACAATGTTATAAGAACTAATCGAAATACGAAAAAAATTATCATGATAAAGAAGAGTAAAATGCCTAACACGATTCCTAGAATATCCAGATTGTATAGCTCCAAAACAGAAAGGTTCCTAGAGTGCATAGCCAAATGATCGAAAGGTTCATCAACTCCTGATTGAAGTTCGACCCATTTGACGATTCTCTGACGATACTCTTCTTCTCTCCCATCCAAACACTTCGCTATGAATTTTGCCTTATCGACAAAAGAACTTAAATTATTTATGAGTCTATGAAGAAGTTAAAAAAAACCTTTGACTGTTTAATAATGATTCCAAGCTTTCTACAAGTAAGTCGTTCGTGATAAAGCGCCTGTCAATCATAATGGCTGATCCAACTCTTGCTGAATGGGAAAATATTTTGCACATCCCTTTGCCTATTACCAGCGTTTTTAGAATTCAAGATTTGGTCTCCAAATATGGGAATAGTGATCATTGGTTTTCCTCTGTACTGCCCTTCAGTAATGGAGTTCATACCGCCATGAGTGATGAAAGCATTAACTCTATCATCACCTGTGAAATAAATACTTCTCGCTGTCTACACGGATGAAAAACCTAATAAATCCGTTTGTGGAAGCCAAGCCTTAGAAACAATGTTATCATACTTGTTGAAATCAAATTCATCATTAGAGCAGTTTTCATACTTCACGATGAAAGTGACATCTTCCATACTGGCAAACGCTTGGGCAAAAACTGAATGGAGGTTCTTCCAGCAACAGATGATAATTGCCTACGTTTTTTAATCTTTAAAGGTGCTTCGCAGAATCTAACAAAAGAACCAAGAGAGAAGATGACGTTGTGCTTTCTCATATTCAATAATTCGTCAAACTCCTAAATATAATTTTATCATCGACGAATTAGCCCATAAAATACCTTCTCCAGAGGCTTTGTGGGATACAAACTACTTCCTCCAATGAATTGAATCATACTTGAAACTGGCCGAGGAGTTTGAGTGAACTCGTTTACGTTTGCCAGGATGAGTCCCGACTTTTTCTGATAAAAGAATAATTTTCATTTTCACTGAATAGACTAACTCTGAGAATTTGGTTAACATCTACTATTTCTGGATAGTGAGCATGGAAAAGATTTAGTACTCTATCATGCATTTTGTCTAATATTCCTTTAATTTCCCAGAATTTCATCATATTATTGAATCTTTGCCATAAATTCATTTTATCATCATAAATAGTAGTCCAGCCTAGGAATACATTTTTACTGCAAATTTGTTGAGAACAATTGCCTGGAACGAAAGAGGGCATGAAGGGTACTCCAGTAATCTGATAAGTGTATGGTGCAACATCTCCTATTGCAGAGGCTAAGATAGTTTTGGAGATTTCGAAAGTCTGAAAAAAAAAATTCTATCAGAATTTCCATGAGTCTATGGGATCACCTCCATCAGAGCAGAAGGACCAACTTCGTAGAACTCATGTATTGCAAGATCGAATTTCGTATTTTTCATGGAATCAATAAGAGTTTTGTTTTCCAATATCACTGCAATTCTTGGTATAGTCAGAAGATAAGAAAAACTTGTCAAAACCTCTATATCCATCTAAAATTGGATTGAAAAACACGTCGAACTCTTCTGGGTCAAAAGCCTTCATTTCTTCATCCATCCAAACGTTGTTAATGTTATCACTACAACACAAATTCATAAAAAAAGATTATTTCCTTACTGAAGCTCTTTGAACACGTTTTCATCTTTGCTCATTGTTATATGAATTTTATGAATATTATTCTCTGTAGTTCCGAAAGGGCGTAGCCGAGGATCTATTTCAACAGACAGAACGGTCTATTTTAGGATGAAACATTTAAAAATTGAAAACACCCAAACTACCAAGTTGTGACCGGCTCTTGATAATATATCAGCTATGTTTCCCATGAACCGAATATGACTTTGGCCAATCATAGGATTGTATATCAATATATTGGCTCCATTAGAGAGGTGAACAACAAGCATTAGAAGAAATGATAGGATCAACATCTTTCTGAGATAAGATTATGTTATATATCATGAGTTCAACACAATAATCAAATGAGAAGTTTAAAAGAAAACACCTAAACACGCTAAGTGTAACATTCCGAATGTCTGTCTATTTGACTTTCGGAGCCACCACAATTTTTGTAATATTGCGCAACAATGACTGTAGTTGATAAGGGAACGATTCTGCACTTTCTTTCTTTCAATCGTGAACAAAAGAAATTTTTGAAGAATTTGTTTCAATCGATCTTATCAGGTTCAAAATTTGTTTTTCACGAAAATATTCGATTAAAAACAGTAATTTTAATCTGTTCTTCAATTGATATGCTTTGGAAATACCCCCCCTCCATTCCAGCACTCTTTTCAACTCATACTTATCATGTCGCAGGAGCACTACTTGATTTTCCAGTAGTCTGAAAATGTATCAGTGTTTCATGGAAGCTTCTCGCGATAGCCGTGCAGCACAACCGCTCACTCACGAATGATTCAAACCATGAAAATGGAAAGAACGACCGATAAACATGGCTTTTCATGTTTTCGAATGAAAACACTCAAATTTTCATTTGTCATTGGTCTCATTCCATATACCTGGCGGGCTTATATCTCTGAACAACTCTTTCCGATTAAAAATTGAGATTTTGAGTAGGGGTACACAGCATTAGCACGAACAATAAAAAATGAACAGTGCAAGACTAGACAATACCTACAAAACAGACCAAATTAAAGGTCATTAAGTGTTAATGCAAGCTGTCTGATCGTAATGGGATAAATGAACTGATCCAGGAATTGGAAGTCAAACAACCGTCACATATACTAATTCCAAATAGAACAGGAACTGAAAAACTTAACGTTCATCTGAATGTAATGCAACAGTATCAAGATTTTTTCTACCCAGCTTTAAAGCGATACATGATCACATAACCACAATGAAGCCATCAAAATAAAAAAAGAAACATAACGGGCGTGATTCAAATCAAATTTTATAAATAGATAAACATTTTTGTTTTCTCATGCTTACAGTGATCATATTGGCGTAACCTATCGCAATTATTCTGAAATAAAAACATAGTTTCATGTGGACGAATCTATTAGATGCTCTTGAGATTCAATTTTGATTGCCTGCTCAAACTGCCGATACGTACTATACGCAGTTACATTTGTCGCATAATGGTCCGAGGTGAGTAATACTTACTAAGTCGTGTTTACTATAAACGACATTCAGAAATATTGAGATTAAAGCAAATCTTGTAAGGTTTTCATTCATATTTCCATTTTGGTTTGTTAATGGCAACATACGCTGTTAACAATCAGTTGCTACTAAGAAGTTCACGAGTAGCATCAGTGTCAGAATACTGACAATTCTCACTTTTGAGAAGCAACAAACTCTCAAAAAACTCTACGGAAATGTGTTCTTAATAATTAACAAAATTAGAAATTTCACATCTTAATAAAACTCAAATTGCAATATGATTAGATACCCATCAGCCCATCATCCTTCCGCATCATGATTTCTCTTGGACCGTCTGCGTATAATTGCAATTTGCAAAAAATGCGCGTTGGTCTTATGAAGTGAGGGTGTTAAGGAATGTGCCAGGGCGTTATTTTGAGCTTTCTCTTCCTATCTGTTAGATATGACCGAAGAAAGCCTTCTAAAACACAGAATAAGGACAAACTTTGTCTTTGATTATGCCTAAAAAAAGTGCAAAAATGCATAACATCGTATTATGAGCAAAAAGGTGCATCAGAGCCAACACTTTCCATACCACTCGTTACTCGTTTTCCGTTTTCATTCTTTTCTCTGTTGAATATGTCATGACTCAGTGCCATAAGCAGGACGAAAATGAGATTAACTCAACTACTTTTGCCAATTATAAGTTGAGAATGCGATGAAGTTCATAATTTGCCTTCCATGAATTGAAAAAAAAAACAAAGATCAAATTACCAACATTTAATCCTTACTAAACGGATAATAAAGTGAATCATTCGTGAGGCACATTATTATAAATGGAAAAATTGTTCAGACAAGCCTAACTCTTTCTATCCTTATGATCCTATTTTCGATGAAACAAAAAGGAATTATAACGTTCTTTTGTGCTTCTTAATAGTTCAATCCCTTCTAAAACTTCTATTTACGGGTGATTTCATAGTGTTTTTGTTCCTATCTTGTTAAACAATCTGTTTACTCTCTCTACTGATATAATGCGACAACTACACAAACGATCCAACAAAAATTTGAATAGAAAGCAAATCGAATTAATAGAATATCTCATCATTAAGAAAGAAGATGATAAGCAATTACAACGTTTTGTTTTGTAATTCTTGTTTCAATCATGCTTAAGCCGATTGAAAACTTGATTACTTTCTTACGAGTAAGAGAGTCATTCCACCACAAATCTTCATTATCTTCTCTAGTATAACAACACAAAGTCTTGTCCAATCTTATGAAAATGTGGTAGTGAGGGGCTACTTGTACCATGATTCCCTTGTAAGAAGCCTTTCATTCCGATCATACCGTAACACTCAGTAGATCAAGATTGGCATTCGAGCATTCTATATGAAGTATCACGCCACTCTCAGATTTGTTTTCGATGTTTGTATTGGACACTGTTTTTGATACTTTATCATAACTTTCTATAATGAAAATCGTTTCTCTTTGAACATTCTTTGTTGTTACTGTGAATTCTGCTTATTGGAATTCTTTTTATTGCTTTTCATGGCTTCTTCAAACCTTTTTTCCTGTACTTTCGAACTGATGCGTCATTTACAACCAATTTCTCTAAGAATATGCTTTCTATTGCTTTTCCGCCAGAAAATTTTCAAGTTTTTCTTTTTTTTTTACATCAAAACTCTTCTCTACGATTAATCTGTATGAAGGATTATCTTTGGCGAATTGAGATGGATAGTAAGGAAGAATTTTTGTATCCTACGGTTTAACACATCGCCAACCTCCATGATGTACAGGAACTATCCCTTTTTGTACACAAGGGTTTTGGCTTAATTTATTTTTCTCTCTTCTCTATTTTCCTTGATGAGATGACAAGACGACCAAGTATACACTTTCAAGGGATCCGAACTATCGCTAGGGGGAGATTGGGAACTGTTTTGAGAACCAACCATTTCTCTCTCTATCCTTCCTTTCCTTTCTACTACAACTGAATACTTTCTATCCACACTATTTCGATTCTGTCCGGTTCTAAATCTCAGCCGTATAAGGAGTATCGGCAGTCTGCTTAGCCATCCATTGATATTTCATTCTCTCAGCATCTCTGACCTTTTCAACTTTTGTTTGAAACTTTTCATATTTCTCCTGCTATAACTGGATTGAAGTGGATGCCTACCGGGCCGATAGGTTTCGTTGTTCGATGTATAGGGAGAGTTATGAGTAAGAATTTGGTTATTATTATTATTATATTTTGTATGTAAAAACAGGTTTTGTCGTTTATTTAACTCAAATGGAAAGAGAGATAGATAGAGAGATGTCATCAATTCTAGTTGATAGAATACCGACGATAGTTCATTGGCATATGATAACCCTTTGACACTATTTTCGCTCTTTTCAATCCAGCCGTATCATTGCGAACAAGGACATCCGGCCAATAGATGTCCTTTTATTTTTTAACATTATTCAACTAACAGCTTTATTTCGCCCACTCCCATAAAAGGGTTCTCACTTTTTTATTCCCATCAGGTCACTCTGCCGATTCAACCGGCTGTCGCAAATCCAAAAGTTTCTAATGCATTGGGAAGATTCAGCCAGAAAGGCTCCTGCAATATTCATAGAAAATGCAAATAAAAAGAAATTTTCTTGTTATTTACAACTAATCTGATCTCCATTTCTTCCAATTTTTTTGAACATTTCAATAGACCTTAATCTGAAAAATGGTCTACGTTATGGTTAGCATAGTTAAACCATCGATTGATCCTTCATCCTCCTAGTTTACTCTCTCTGTAATTCAGAGGAAAAGAAAGAAGAAGAAGTCAAGTTGTAATTCAATTCTCTCTTACAACTATTATTTATGATTTTTTTTATCAGAATGTTTAATCATATTTCAAGACCAATCGAACTTCCACATTCATCAACTTCTTCTGTTTTTCGTCTATTTCTTAAGATGTAAAATAAAAAGGTTTTCTGGTATTCTGTGAGAATGGATAAGCTTGAAGCTAAGGCTTGTTCTCATCAATTGTCTTTTGTCATTTGACAGTCTTCTTCCATCACTTTCCTGTTACTTCTTAACTTGTTTTTTTTTTACTTTAGTTTTCAACATTCTTCCCGTTCCAACTAACATCATCTCTCTTCTCGTTGTTCACATTATGTTCCAATGGCTATTGAATGACCCCATCGTGACTTTCGTCGTTCTTCTTCGTTCGTTGTCCTCGTCGTCGTAGTCATCTTCCTTGATGTCCTCATCCTTTCTCGTATTTGACGTCAGACCTAAAACTCCATCCATCTGTTCTTCTCCTGTCTCCCCCTTTTCCAAACAGCTGATATACAAATTTGATTTCTGTACAACCTCTTGAAGATGTTTTGAACGTTGTTCTTCTCCATTTTTTATTCATTTGTCAAAACAATCCAAGCATATTTCTTTTTGAAAACATTATTTTTGCTTATTTATGAACAATCAATTACGAAAACCATTCCCCGTTCAGAATTTCTCTGCTGTTTTGCGTCTCTGATTATCAGAAGTTTGACGAAGTACATAAAAAATCCAACTACATTATTGCCTTTTTTTTCAATTTCTTTAGAATTTAGAGAAATTTGTTAAAAGTGACAATATGATCGGCGATTTCTAAGAAAGCCGGTTCACTTCTCATCCTTAGTATCGTGGGTACTTTTCAACCCTTCGTTCCCTCTTTGTCTCTTCTAAAGTACAGAGAGTGATGTACATCTTTTTTCAAATATAACCAACTTCTTTCTCGTGAGCTAGAACAAGAATTTTCTTCTGTCCTTGCTTTTTTAAATTTCTCTATATCATTTAATTAGCAAATTTCACTTATAATTATATTTTAAAACAATTTTTGTTATTGTCAAATGTGTTCAATGAATTGTATTTGTTGATATGGCTTGATCTTCTTGTTGATTGAGATGGTTTGATCATTTTCGGATGTTCAATTTACTCAGATTGCTCTATTCCCCCTAGCAGCTATCTCGCATTACTATCAACTGATTGTTTTTTTCCTGATTTTTCGAATTGAATCTTTTCAATTTCAAAAAAATTTAAATTGAACAAATCTCAGAAGATAAAATCATCAGGAGGCGGAGATGCAGCTCCAGCAATTGATTCATTCATTGTGAGCTCTTCCTCTTTTTCTGGGCTTTATGTTTTTGAAATCCAAATTGGACTTGATCATTAACATTTTTTTTTCTTCAAAATTTTGATTGGGGAAGTGCGAGAAAATTGATTTGACTCACTCAACGACTGTTATTTGAGAGTTGATGATGAAGTTGAACAAATGTTATGAAGAAGTTAGAAAGGAAGAAAAGAAAGCATAGAGTAACATGGGAATTAAGAAGAAAACGAATCAGCCTGTTATTTGTTAATAAACATAACTATTAAGAGCGATGTGCTTACTTTACTTCAAAGTGAATCTTTTAAGGATTGTTTCTCTTTTCCATTGTCGCACTTCGTTTCCTCTCTTTACCTTTATCTCAATCTTGTTGTTTCTCTGACACTTTGCACTCAGTTCGTTGACGTTTATTTGTCAAATTTACTCAGTAAAAAATGTGTTTTTTATTTACTTTTCTTAGTCATTTATTAGTTTTTTTTGGGATTGAACCACAGTATCATAAACAGTTAGCTTTATAGATTAATTGTAATCGTAAGCGTATAATGTATACTCATCACCTATCATTGCTTTGTTGGGAAGAATAGCGAATCTCTCTTTATCGCCAAACAGCCAGATAAACAGATAATTTGAGAGAATATTCAAAGAAATGACTAAGTAAAAAGTAGTGTTATCTTAACAGAGACGAAAAGAGAAAAAGCCCGGCTTGGGCTTTGGCTTAAAAAGGTTTTTCATTTTTCATTCTTTCACATCCGTCTTTCCGTCAATTGCCGGTCACTTATTTTTATATTTCTTCCTGATTTGTCCTTATCTCAAGGTCATATTGATATGTTCTTACTTGATTTATTAAAATACTTCTATTTTCTAATTATATATGAAATATGAACCGTTGATTATCTATCTTGTCATTCAAACAAATCGAAAACATCTTACTTTGAAGGCATTTTGGTTATGAGAGAAGCTACTGTAGCTCCGATAAAGAAGAAAATAGAAGATGTTGAAGTGGATGAGCCAGGTTTCATCTACATACAACTATTTTTCAATATGCTCAATAATTCAGATGTTCGCTTGACCGATTGGAGAGCAGTATGTATAGCTGGGCTTTTAACATTCCTTTCTTCTTTAGAAGGAACTGTAGTTGGTATGTCTGAATGGCCTTACATGCACACTGTAAGAACTTTAAAAAATTGTTTTATTAGTTTTTTTTAATGTTTTTGTTCGATATATAAACTTTGATTCGTGTCTACAGATTGATCCCGAAGCGACATCTCAGTTTTTCGGAGCTGTTACATCATTCTCAAAAGCTGGTCATGCCATATTTGCTCTGATATTTTCTTATTGGAGTTATAAATCGCAGCAAATAAGGTGAGTACGGGTGAAAACAGAAAAAATTAAGTAAGAAACCTTTAGATGGCCACTAGTCGCTGGTCGAGTGATAGCTTTTATAGCTTGTTGTATTTACCTATGCGTAGAATTCTTACCAACTGGCCGAAGATATTTGATGATGCTCTGTTATTTTCTTTTTGGTGTTGCCGGAAGTGAGAATTGATTATTATCCTTCTGGTGTAAGATTAATAATGTTTTAGGTTCAACATGTATTCTGAGATTTTATCTCGTATCTGTCAGTTCTCATGCTGATCGTGCTCGAGCTTTCTCTGCGATTGTAATGGCGAACATGCTCTCAATTATCATCGGACCAAGTACAAACTGTCACTAATTATATCACTGACTTTTAACTTAAGTGGTTCAATTGTCCTTCTCGGGGATCAAATACCCTGGAGTAGCTTTCTTCTCAGAGCATATTCGCTTCCACATCTACTCAGCTCCAATATGGATCGCGTCACTGACGAACTTCGTTTCCGTCGCTATCATATTTGCTTCTCTCAAAGAATTGGAGAAGAAACAAAAAACTAAAAGTTTGTAATAAGCCCTTGTTTTAACTGATTTTTTAATTTTTTTTCAAGAAAAAATATAAAACATATCTGTTTTTCTGTTTCAGAGCCATCCGTCTTTACACTTCAAGGCTTTAAGGATCGTCTTCAAAAATTGATGGCCATCGACTTACATTGGTCACTCATTTCTGTATGTTGGTTGATGAAGATCATTGCTCAGTTAGCGATAGTTACTTTATCAACGTAAGTTTCCAAACTAGAAATACTTGAATACGGTATTAGCAAAGACGTTTACGGGGGTGGAAATCGCCACAGATGAGTCATGTTCACCCAATACAACCTAACATGGAATTAATCATTGAAAGTAGCGATTATGCAGAATTTTTTTTGAAAATGCCTTCAATGAGTCACGTTAAACACATTTTTGACAATTATAGAACTGCTGCTCCATTGATGATGGCATCATTCGGGTGGGACGGTTCAATGACAGTTCAAATAATGGCAGTATCCATGGGAACTGTAGGCCTACTTTCTATCGGATTGGCTGTTGCTTGGATGGTGGGAGGATTAGGCAAACTGTACGTTGATAAGCTTGAAGAAAAGGGACAAAAACCATTTTATAGAATATCCCCGAGAGTTGCGTTTTTGATTTCTCTCCTAATATCCGTCGCATTGTATGTGTTATCCTATCCATATCCACAAATAGGACATTCCATGCCTCAATATAACGGTAACATGAAACATCGAAAGATAAAAACATCAACCTCTATGTCAGAAACTACACGATCTGGATGTAATCCAGCTGAGTACAGCTGGTGTGATACCGAAATGTCAACAACTCCCTTCATATTTATGCCTGTCGTCATAGTAGTTATGGGAATCGGATTACCTTTAGCATCTATTTCTTTGGACACAATATATTCGAAAGTTCTTGGGAACATTGACCAGGTAACTCAGACAGCTAGTAAAGGATAATCACAATCGGTACATTCAAGAGCTTAATGCAAGGTGCGATTATTGTGGCTGAGGATTTGATCCTGATCGTTGGTCCTATATATTCAGCGTATGTTCCATGATATATTTCTATAATAACTTTATTTTTAGTTCTATTTTTACCGCATACGGGCAAGATAAGCTATGGCTTATTAACGCTGTCATCACAGCCGCAGGAACAGTCTTATGGTTAACAGTCTTCAAAAGAGTCAAAGCATATAGTTAAACTAGTATATTTGAAAGCAGAAAATAGTTTTAAGCAAACAGGAGTTTTAAATTATGTGATTTACTAGATATTATTATTTTGATATAACAAACTTCAAAGAAAATCATGTCAGTTGTTTGAAATGTTCTTCATACGGTGTTTCTTTCGATCATTTATTTATTATAACTATACTATTCCTCTATAATCCGTACTCATTCACTCACTCGTTTCTCATCATTTACATTAAATACTTTTTTTGAACTACAAAGAAAACATTCATTTTTGGTATATAATATGGGTCAATTTTCAATTGCACTTCTTCATACAACTCATTGTTTCTCTTAAAACAAAAGAATTAGCATTTTTCAATTCAATAAATATATTTCTTCTCAATTGTTACATTTTCTTGTTATAACTTTAGTTGACAATTCATGACTGTTTAGCATAATGACGTTTCACGTGAAACGAACTGCATATCACGTCATTTATTCATTTATATATTAATACTGGTTGCGTTCGGCTGTGCTTCTTTAACCTAACATTGTACTCGTGTAGACGGGTCATGCCTGATTTCTGCTTACTGAATGACTAAGAACAGAGCTCAAGTGGATAAAAAATATATGAAATTAAGAGTTTTCTTCAAGATTATACTGAACGGGATTGGAATCGTTTGGTGTTCTTTGTCTTCTTGTTTCTCTTCTCTCGACTTCATGTTGTCTTTTCATCCGTTTTCCAGGTTATCTTGCATATTTCTTGTCTTCGCTATCTTCAAAATCACTCATATCCTCTCATTCTCTTTCAGTTGATCATCTCACTGCTTCCTCCTACTATCCTTCATTTGCCTTCTATTGTTTAGCCACTTCTACATCACCGGCTTTCTTTCCAACTCAACACGAAAATTTCTATTTCTATCAACTTTTAAAAATCAATTTTGCATCGTTCGATATGTTTTCCGTGAAACTTTGATTAATAAAACTGTTATATTCGTCCTCTTCCAATTTTTCTTATAATATTTCAGCCGACAATACCGAGTGGGTGATGAGATTACCTCTCATTCTTCTAACTGTACTCACTGAATGTTGGTTTCATCGTTTATCCGCATGATACCACATCTTGCTTTCAGATATTCTCTGTATAGAAACACCTTACAACTACTGTAATGATGGAAATTATTGTATGAATGGTGGTACATGCTTTTTGAGCAGTTGTAAGTTAAAGTAACTCTTTCTACAAATTGTTTCACAAGTTTTATTTGTTAAGAACAGTAAAAGATAAACAAGGGAGTTAAAACTATAGATTCTCCCTTGAACTTTCTATTTTCCTTTCAAACTCACAGATGAGCTTTAATTTTTTCTTTTTGAAGCTATACCAGTTGCACAGCAGTGCAGAAAAGATGAGGTGTACAATAATAATGCTTGTTTTTCTATATTAAAACAATCTTTGAATTGGAAAGACGTGAGTCATCCTTTCTCTTATTTGATTACTCAGTTTCTGCCTCAGGCTGCCCAATCATGTCGAGACCAAGACTCTTCCCTACCTCTTCCACAAACGAAAGAAGAACAAACATTTCTTTCCGACTACATTCAAGGAACTATTTCTGTCTTTACGGGTTTTTTTCCTAATTGAATGTTCAGTGAAGATCAAATAAGTTTCAGATCGTCGATCGAATGGAGTATGGACTGCAGTTCGTTCTGTATCGAATGGCTCAAGCCCTGCTTGGGTGTCCTATCCCGGTAGTTACTTGGTTCAAAATGAATACTGGAAACCTGGAGAACCTAACTTATACCCAAGTTGGAACGGTGAGAGAAGATTAGTTTCATGTGAATTAAAAGTATCTCAGATGTTTGTGTGTCACTGAATGAAAATACCTTTTTCACTGAATGGCAAACTCAAACTTGCGATCAAACAAACTATGTGGTTTGTGAGCGAAAAATCGAGGTTGAAGGTACTGAAACAGAGCATTTATAAGAATTAACTTGGATTTTCAAAGAAAAGCAGTTGAACCGTCAGTGCTCATGTTCCTCTGGTTTTGAAGGCTTGAGATGCGAGGATAGAACTACAGAAAGTGGGTCATTAAGCTAAATTTTATCCTTAAATGGTTCTGTAGCTACAAGCCAACAGAGGCATGCCTGCGCGGCGGAAGCATTCTTTTTCTCTTGTCCCTCAGGCACAATCATAGTAGATTATGCGTCTTTCGGAGGATCAGTAAGCCTAATTTGTTTTTTTCTGATACATTTGTTTCAAGGGAGGAATAGGCTGCACTAATGATTTGACATCAAGCGTGAATCTGACTTGTACAAATCGTCACAGTCTTCAGACAATTATCAATAGGTAAGAAAAACTATTTTTCTCAAAATAATTTTCCTAAAGATGCCAGGGCTTGAACTACTGCGATATTCCAAGTTTAACTGAACTTTTTTCGGAAACATCATGCTATGTCAAAGAAGAGTTGCAACTACAATACCGTTTTCGGTGTAGCGCAGGTTATCCCGTTTTTCATTATTCGCTTTTCACACCATATATATGAAGATGTTCAAGCTGTTTGTCCAACTGGGTCTTTTTATAATTCTGGTCGCTGTTTCACTCTGACCTCCCAGAAAAACGCACAAACAACCAAGCAAAAAGCGATCGAAGAATGTCGTAAAAAGGTAAGCTCCAGTGAGTAGGAAGCTTCATAATCACTCTGAATAGGGAGGGCAACTTCCTACTGACATAACGTCATCGAGTCACGAAGAATTAGTACGACAAATCGAGAAAACCAAGAGAAATGGTAACTATTGGATAGCCCTTAGTACAACAGAAAATGGAGCTCAATGGGATCAAGGAGCATCAGTTACTTTCACGTAATATTTATGCGAGACTTTAAGAATAACAAGGATTGTAGTGAGAACAGTGTAGAGAAAAAGTTTAAACCACCAGAACGCTGCGGTGATAGGTTGTTTGCGAGTTGCCAAGATGGTGCCTCTGAGGAAAATTATGTGTTAATGAATTCTGAGAGAAGAAACTTACCTTATCATTGAATTTGATATTTTAAGACCAGATGGTTCCTACTTGATAAACTCTCCTGGATGTGTTGTTTTATCCGTAACAAAAGATGAATCCGTTTGGAAATCTGTCTCTTGCAACGATGAAGCGTCGTTCATTTGTGAAAACGCTCCAACGACAGGTAGCATTTATAAACTATTCTACTATTCCACATTTTTTTAAGGAACAAGTCGATCTTTTGAACCCTTTGTCAATGCTGTAACTTCTACGCAAGATTTTTTCCAAGGAGATCAAGAGTAAGTGAAAATTTGTCTTTTTGATTCATCAAAGCAAGTCATATGTCAACCATCTCTGAAAGTCATTTGCCGAACTCGATCAGGTCATTTTGACCATCTAAAATCATCGTTTCGACATTGTAGAAAAATGTACAAATATTGACATTCACAATAGGCTTTCCCTTGCTTCATTCTACCTTTCCTTCTTTTTTGGAATGATCAACATGACCTAGAAAGCTTCTAAACTGAGTGTGGTGATAGAAATGCAGCTGTTATCGAAATTGAAATCGCTTCCTCTTTCCATTTGTCAAACAGATTCTTTTTCTTTGTCAGAACGTCTTTTTGATTCACAGAGAAAACCTGAATATAATAATTATCATCAAATTATTTCAAAGGCGTTATTTAAGTTATAAGAGTAGACAGAGCAGTTCTTTCGATCTGTTTGAATTGCTCATATATAGCTTTTATATTAAGAGACGATCCCCCCCAAACAGCCAAGTCGATTGACTAACCGGTTTGATTCTCCCAATCGGCTGCTGTTTTTCTCTCTCACTTCTCTCTCTCTCTCCCTGTAAGAGACAGGGCTTACCACGAAAAGGACTGAAGACACTATTCATCTTCTCTTCGGTCTCTTCTGAAACCAACCTCTGTCTATTTTCACGTCCTTTCAATAAACTGTCGCAGAAAGTTGCTCCGTGAAAGGATTCCTCGCACGTTCATCTAGGGTTATTCTATTATATTTGTCCAAGATTTAGTAACAATTTTTCATATCCGTTCTTTACTTGCTAGTAGATTCCAAGCTTACAACACAACAGAATGACCAAATACGGTCTCTTATTCTATATTCTCTTGCTGTTCTCGGTTAATGGATCAAAAAGTTTAGAAGAAAAGAATGAGACAGTTTCTTCAGCAAGACCTGAAGCAAGAAAGTTCGTTTCATTATGACTCATCAAAAATGCTGAAAGCCTCCCGGTTTCTTCTTCAAGAAAAAATTAGTTGAGAGAAAGGAAAAAATGAGTGAAAGTTGGGATCATCAACCTTTCTCTCTTGTTGATTGATTTCTAATACTCTGTTTCGTCGTTAAATCTGTGAGCGAAAATAAAATAAATAAAAGAAAAAAAACGCTGATCATCATCATTTTCTCCATGACGTCATCATTCGAAATTTCATCGGTTTTGGGAAGTTTAAAATGAGAAATGAAAAGATCTCTAGAGAAAGATATGCAAGTTGTTGCATGAGATGGCATTTAGCCTAAACTAGTTGAAGCCAGCTTATGTTCGTATGAATCGTCGCTGCTTTTCTACATTCCTTTGCTAAAGTTTACAACCAAAATTTAAGAAATTCTTAAATAAAAAGAAATCAGAAAAACTGTTTGATTATCTTGTTCGTTTCAGAATTAATGATGTAAAGGATATTTTTGGTGACGTCAAGTATTGCTCTGAAGGCACTGTCAAAGGAATTCGTTTTCCAAAGACAAGAGAATGTACAGAAGCTCAAGTTCCATGTCCAGACGAGGAGAATATCATTGGTAAGGTTATGATTAGATCTCTCTGTATATAGATGGTTTTGAAGGAATTGTTACTCGCTACTGTAATTGTAAAACAGCTAAATGGGAAATTCCTAATACCACTAACTGTACCCATAAATGGGTTTCGGAAATTCGGAACTCTCTCAATAACGGAGATCCGGCCGAACAAATTACTGCGCAGCTAGCGCTTAACTTAGAGTCAGTTGAGCCATTTTTCTTCAGTTTTGTCTTATTCTTTTTAGACGAACTTTGTCTCGCCAGCTATATGGTGGTGACATTATCGGAAGTGTTTCCTTGAGCGGGGATGTTCTATCTTTAGCTAAAACTCAGTTTTCCGCTTTAATTGACAGGAATGATCGTCAGAGAAGGGCCTCGAACTTCACTGAGGTTTGAAAATATTACACTTCTGCTTGATAGTCATTCTTTCAAGTCTTTGGGAACGTCAGGAGATGAGTTGCTGTCCGTTTCGGCTGTACCTGTTTGGGGAGAACTTGAATCTTGGAGACGTATCGAACATGCTTCGAAGTATGTTCAGTTCGTTTCAATTTAAAAAAATTATCATTTTCAGGCTTATGAGCGTGTTAGAGCAGAGTGCACTACTACTAGCCGATTACACTATTGAATCTCAAAGAAAACTGAGCTACAGGCACTGGGGTAAGAAACAATTTTTGTTCCACATATTCATTCCTTTAATTCAGCCATGGAAATAGATGTACGAGAACCTGAAGCTTATACAAGTGCTCGTTTGGATACTGTTGGTGCTGTTCCGATGGATGATACAATAGATGTACCTGCTGCAAGGTTCCGATCAGCTTTGTTCCTCGTTTTATCATTTGCTACAGAGTCCTCTCAGATGGCCAAGGTTCCACAACCTCAACTGTCAACTTTAACAGCATCAATAAATCTCCTTCTATTTCTTTGCCATCTCTGAGTGTTTTAAGTAAGATTTCAACTCGACTCTTGTGATAATGATTGTTGTAGAAGAATCTTCTGCCCCCACCGCCCCTACAGGGGAAGTAGCAGCTCAGGCCTTTTTTCACCCTGGCGGGAACTCGGTTTGACATTCTATATCTTGTATTACCGTCATATAATTTTTGCAGGGTTCTGCTAGTACTCTTGATCGCACTCGGCTGAGGCTTGGTTATTATGTTTTCACCACATTCGGAGACTTACTAACAACAGATGATCAATCCATAATAAATAGTCATATAATAGGAGCTTCTGTGGACGATGCAGTTCGTTCTATCAGGTAGTAGGACTCGGTTTCTTCTTATTCGCTCCTTATATAGCTTACCAGACACTGAACCGGCAACTTTCACTTTTTATCACTTGAAGAAAACCGGGGTTAGTAATCCTCGTTGCGTTTTCTGGGATCTGAATTTGAAGTAAGAGCCTGATTTTTATTTTCAGTTCAGCGTAACATTATTTTCAGAATATGGAGTACTGAAGGATGTCAATTGATATCCTCTAATTCAACCACGTCCGAGTGTGCATGCAATCATTTAACCAGGTACGCTGAAAAGTCACCCATTTATGGTAATTAGAAAATTAAGTTTTGCTATACTCATGGATGTTAGCGGGAATGTTGCTCGGTACTCTGGAGCTTTGGCTTCCGCCTTAGATGTCATTTCTATTATTGGATGCTCTATTTCAATCGTGTGTTTGAGTTTATCATTGGCCACATTCACGTTTTTCCGGTAAAATAACAACCGAAAAGATCATTATATGCATGTTTAGTTCGTTATACAACGTCCGGAATACAATTCATAGAAATCTGTGTCTCTGTCTGTTGATAGCTGAGCTTGTCTTTGTTATTGGCATGGATAGGACTTCGAATGCAACTGCGTGTTCGGTTGTTGCACTTCTCCTTCATTTCTTCTTTTTGGCTTCATTCTGTTGGATGTTGTTAGAGGGATATCAGTTATATCTCATGCTCATTCAAGTCAGAAACTTATTCATCTTAATATATCCTGTTTTATTAGGTTTTTGAATCCAATCGTAGCCACGTACTGTTGTACTACTTGTTCTCATACGGTTTCCCCGCGGCTGTCGTAGCTGTAACAGCTGGAGTCGCATGGCATAACTATGGAACTGATACATAGTAATTGAATTTTATTTTTATTATAATAATGAATCAACTTAAGTTGTTGGATAGACACAACCACTCCCACAATCTGGGCTTTCATAGCCCCTATCATAATTGTTATAATCGTAAGTTACTTGAGCTCCTGCTGTCCATGACGAGGAATACATACATACATATGTATATGAATCTATCAATTTCTTATTTTAAGGCTAATATGATATTTCTTCTCATTGCTCTAAGAGTTGTATTGTCTATACGCAGCAGAGATAGGAATAAAACCGACCGTTTGATTGGCTGGTTGAAAGTAATAAGATACTCAAAGTGTCGAAATAAATATGACTTTTCTCAGGGTTCAGCAACACTTCTTTGTCTCTTAGGGATAACTTGGGTATTTGGCTTCCTCACCGCTGTTAAGGGTGGAACTGGAACTGTTTTTGCTTGGATTTTCACTATTTGCAATAGCACACAAGTAAGACCCAGATAATTTTATGGTTGAGATTAGTTTTAAAGGGGATTTTCATTTTCTTCCTACATGTGGTTATGAATGACAAAGTGAGACTAGTGATCGTTCGGTGGATTCGAACAGGAGTTTGCTGTCTTCCTGACAACGCTAGCGCCTACAACAGCAAGTAATGAAGAAAAAATAGGAAATCTTTATAATTTTTTCTTTTTTAGATCTTTCCTCAGTAGTAGACAACGTATCTTGAATATGGTCAAGTCTCAGAGTAGAAGTGATCCAAGTACTGCAAGTACAGATGATAAAGACAATCAACTTACGCCAACAAGTATAGCTTTGTGTCTTTTTCCTTAAAAATATATAACTGTAGGTAAAACCAATCAATGGCTTCGACAAATGTCGCAAATGCACGAATGTGGGACCATATCTTCACAACCAGAATCTGATGAGATTATTGTACATCGATCGGATTCTCCACAAAATGCTGATGTTGAGAGTCAATCAACGGACCCACGGTTTGAAACCATTCTTCAATTAAAAAAAAAACTTTCATAGTGGTTCGCAAGATCTAGAGTCAGATGTAATGGAAAAGCAAGCACCAGTTAAGCGAAAAAAGTTCCCCTTGGGAGCATCTGAAATGGAGAGAGCGTCCACTCATCGGAATGCAGTCATCATCGAAAGATTTTAAAGCTTTTTTATTTCACAATGAGCAAGCAGGGTTACTTCATACAAGTCATATCAATCTCGGGTTAATCAAATCAATGCTTAACATGAAGTTTGGAATCATCTCGTTCTTTTAAATATTTTTCTAGTTGAACAGCAATATAATAAAGTTAATATACTTAACCACAGTGTTGTCACAAGCAATCCGAATGAAAGAAATTGAGTTCTTGAATAGTTCTCATACAGAAACCTACCATCAAAACCGTAAAACGTCATCAAATGCTCACTTCGATAATTTGAACAAGTAGAAATGGTATAGATTGGAACGTCATCAATTCGTGTCGCTAAAATTTTCTTCCGTTCACATCCAAATACTATTTCTGTATAGTTAACAGCAGATGTATCGTCTAACAAAGAACTAATGATGGATGAGCCTGAATTTCTTTGTAATATCTGAAGACGTGATCTCGACATTACCTAAGAATGTTTGATGAAGCAGAAAGTAGACAATCCAATAAGCTGGAGATACCAATCGAGCAGGGGATAAACTTAATGGGAAATCTGCTGATACAATTGATATTCCACTCGACAGATGAAGTGTTGTGTTAAATGAATCTTTAATGATTGTAAGCATTTTTTTAAATCTTAAACTTACAAACTATGAATAGTCCTAGCAGTTTACTTTCCAACAAATTGGCAAAAGAGAATGTTATTAGGAATAATAAAGCATAGTAAAACGAAATAATTAGAAAGAATGAGAAAAATGAATAATCCGTACCATTAATGGAACAGATTCCTGAAAAAAAATTGTTTCACATTATGAAACAATAAAATATATAAAAGGTCCTTATAGGGGTTCTCAAAGTCAAATAAAGAGCTCGATTTGACTAGTGGCAATCTCTTACCTGAGAGAAAATACACGGGTATAGTGAACAAAACCATTTGTGTCATGAAAATGGGTATGAAGAAGATTATCTGCAATGAGAATTAGGGAGTGATCGGTCTAAAACTTCTTACTGTTATAATTAGATATGAAGAAGAGGAGTAGAGACCATTCATTTTGTCGGAAAATGCCTTCTGCTTATTCTGATAAGCTTGAACGAATATCGGTAAGATGATGAAATAGACGAACCAACCTTGCTCCAACCATGTATAAGAAATAGGAAATACGGAAAAAAAGAGAATCGACGTGATCAAACCGAAACGATCGTTTATTTCTTGACGCTTTTCGTTAGATATTTGAAGGAATATGAGTCCAATGAAGACTGATATGAGGAAACTGAAGATTGTTGGGTAGAAATACAGAAAAGGCTTATTAAAGCACTCCATGAAATATTTCCTAAAGAACCGTACAAAATTAAACGACTTAAAAAAAAAAGTCTTGCCTGTAAAGAACGAAAGATGATTTTAGAGTCGTTTGTGCCCCTTTTTTCAGAGTCAACGGAGATATTATAACGGGCAGATGGTTTCTCTCACGATTTTTCCATTTATTACATAGAATTTCTATGCGTTGTGATGAGTCTCTCGAAGCTTCCGGTGTCAAGTGATCGTGAGTTGCTATATCAACTTAATAAAAGGTAAAAGTATCAAATAGTAAATAAAATCAATTGATACCATAATAGTCACAAGGATTTTTAAACGGAGGACAGGGAAAGTTGATGGATTCGAAATATGGCATCATGTTTCCAGGTGATCCGAAGTATATAAGTTGCCCAGAAGTTAGAATAGAAACTAGAACAGCATGATTGAAGCATCCGAGAAAAGGCAATACCATGAGAAAACATTTCCAGAATCCCCATTGAGCTAGGAGATACTGACATTATCACTATTCGATTCAACTTCAAAGCCCAATCACGAAGAAAATCAATCACAAATGCAGAGTCGTAAACATCCATGTCTTTTACAATATTATCGCAAACCAAAATATCTTTGAAAAGAAGTCGTTAAATTGAGATTTTGATTCTGAGGTACCCGTGTCACGTAGAATTTGAGACGCTATTTTAACTCTTTGCTTCTCCGATTTGGTTAGCTCGCAGCATAGTGAATTTTTAAAATGTGTTAATGCCAGAGTTACGACTAGCTGATCAATCTTAAAAGAAGGAAAACAGATAGAAAACAGTTAACTAAGTTACCATGTTATATGTTTTCCCGTTTGAATTGTTTTTTGCACCGTAATATGAAGATATGAGCTGTAGGTATTGATATACAGTTAGATGATCAGGTGGATTTTCCTGACAAATGTATGCTGAAGAAAAGCTTGTATATATATTTTAAGTATTAACACTACCTATACGTCCTTCGAGCTGATTAGCTTTTAAGCGATGACCATTTATCATGAATTCCCCTCGAATCTTCCCATTTGCTATGCTTTCACCGGCTAAGATCCTTAAGAACGTTCTCACTTCGCTTTCTGCAAAAAATGAAGTGTATTCCTCTTGAATGAGCTTGAAAGTTCAAAAAAAAATTATTTCAATGAAAACCTGTTGTATGTAAGACAGCTAGAATATCTCCAGCTACTAATTCCATGCTTATATTGGATAAACTTTGAATAATTTTCGGAACCCTCCAAAGCCAACGATCTACTCGAGTTCGAATATCGACAGAGAATGTCAGATGAGAAATGGATAAATGAGGAGAATTACTAAAAGGAATGTCACATAATCGTGTGATATACTCTAAATTATTACCTTTTAGGGGATTTAACTAGTTCAGTATATTTCGCATATTTTAAATAGTTATAACCACTGTTTGTAAACAAATCCATGTTTGAAAAGTAATGACCTTGATGTCGTAAAGGAATGAGGAATCCAGATATTCTAGGATAGCTAATTCAATGAGTCCTTCAGTTGGTACGAACCTCTCCTCATCATCAAAAGCCGTATCAGTTTCTTCAGTGAATATACTGAGATCTTTACCAGGTGAACTGAAACAATAAGAATTATATTGAAATAATTTGATTATTTTAACTTCAAATCCCAAGGGCTGCTCTTCTTTTTCCGTTTAGGTGTGCGATCGACACCTGTTGCTTTTTCACGGGACGTTGAAACTGAAATTTTGATGACTTCTGAAATAAAATCTCAAATACAAACCAGCAGTCGTAGGATATCCACAGGGCATATAGTCTTCAAACTCGTCAATGTATGTATGCGGTCGATCGAATTTCATGATGCTTCCAGCAGTGCATATGATTTGCTGAGAAACAGTAAGATTTCAAAGTTATTCTATGGGAAATTTGAAAAGCAGTAAGTAATGAACAGGACAATTAGAGAGAGAAGTGAAACATAGAAACATTAAGTAAACAGATTTTTCTGGTATGACAAGTGGTAAAAACTAAAACGAGGAACGAATATGAGATGATTGAAAGTCAAGAAGTTCCTACAGGCAACGAATTACCCTACTACAGACTATTCAAACGAAAACCGGATCATAGTCCGGCACACAATTTGTTGGATTCACTTTCACAATTATAGGCAGTCGAACCATCTTACAACTCCTTTTTGACTTCCTCACATTTTACGAAAAAATACTCTTCAATAAGTATTTGAGAACTTACAGAAGAGTACTCTGGTGACGGTAGATAAGTTCGTCGCAGTCCGATTGGTTGATCGTGACTTCTCACTCTGTTCATTCCACAATACTTAGTAAGATTATTAGATGAAACAAAATAAAATTCTTTACCTAATATTGCACTGAATGTCTGTAAATGATTTGAATAAGATTGCAAAGGTCGCTATGCCCTCTCATTGCCATTCGTCTGGTCTCCATATTCATAATCTCCTCAAGGTAGTTCGAGGTTGTTTGAAATGCAGTCTCATTCATTTCTTCCACTAATTACCCTTCTGTTCCTCTATATGAAGGCTATACCTCAATTTATTTATTGTTTGCACTCTTTCATTTCTTTCATTTACAATATTTTCAGTTTTATCTCTATGACAAAGTCACCAAAGTATTTGCTTGAATGTCGGAACATCTCTTTCTTGAGTACCGTGACAGGCGATAAATGGTTTGCTCATTGATTGTTTGAAAAAATAGTAATTTATTAATATGTTTCCGGTTTTCAAGATTATACAGTCCACCAGTCATTGCCCAATTTCTCAATGGTGTGACTTTTGAAGCGTTCTCGGGTGGTGTACATGCAGTATGCGGAGTCTCAGGTGAGCTCAATAACAATAATGAATTCTGTATATCAAAAACATTAAAGGATGTGGCAAAAGTACTCTTCTAAATGTTATCGCTAACAATGCTGATGGAGATACAACTGGATCAGTTTACCTCAATCACGGAATATTGACGAGTGGGTTATTGATTGATCAATTAAAACCATTATGCTAATTAACTCACACTGACGTGCCGTCATTGACGTGTCAAGCAAAAAAAACAGTTTCATTTTCTATTTGACGTGCACGATAAATGGCATTAGTTCTTTCAATTGAAACAAATTTTTCAACTTAACTTTGCAGGAGAACGTTTCAATCAAATCGGATCGTTTGTTCAGTTTCATTCAAACTACCCAACTCAATTAACCGTATACAATTTAATTTTTTATAGTTTAAAGTTATATTTTGGGTCAGTCTTATCAGATTCTGACTTAGAACAACGTGTAGGTGTTCTATTTGAAAATTTGAATTAATATGCTATGTTATGATACAGATCTATACTTTGCTCAATGAATTTGAGATATCCTCATATGCATACATGAAAATGTGCAAACTGTCAGAGAGTGCTAGGCGGAGAGTTCAAATTGCAATTGCTGCTAGTAAAGACCCAGGTTCAGGAACTAATTGTTTTGTTTATCGTTTTTTTTTTAGTTCTCTTAATACTGGATGATCCATGTAAGGATATTGAATCGCTTTCATCTTTCCAGCTCATGAACTGCTTGCATAGTTATGCAAGTTTACATAATAGAATTGTATTGATCAGTGTTCGGTCACCACGGTCTGATATCTATCAGCTGTTACAAACAATAACTATTTTATTCTATGGTGAAGTGTTCTATTCAGGTAACTATGTTCTAAGATAGTTTTTCATGTTTAATGTTCTCTTAGGCTTGACCAAGAAATTACCACATTACTTTAGTAAAGCTGGATTTCCATGCCCAACTAACGAAAACCCAGCTTCATATTACAGTTTAACTGAATGAATCACTAGAGAATTAATACCATTTTATTACAGTATCTATTGCCACAATTGATAGAGAAACTGCTACAAGGAGTAATGAAACTCAAGAACAAGCAATGCATTTTGTGAATTACTACAAGGTTTGATTGAATTGTAAATACTGAAATATCATTCTTTTTCCAGGAGTATAAATCACAAAAACCAAACGATTCTGAAATTGAAACGTTTGAATCACCATCAGCTTTATGTTTCTTAAAGAGCCCATCTAGTCTAATGAAAATAATTTTTCTTTGTCGGTAAGCTAGGCCCAAAATCACTTTTTCACAATTCTTTACTATCAGAAGACACATCAACACACTCCTCACAGACATCGTTCATATATTCATAAACTTATCAATTTTCCCGCTGACAGCCATTTTTTTGTCAATTTTCAGGTTAATTTATCTTCGTTTGTTGAAATTTTCATTGAAATTTTAGTTTGAATATGCTGACTGGCTCTTGGACTGTGCCGCATTCCTCTAGTGCTTTTCTCGAAGTTTCGGTATTTCTTCAAACTATAACTCTTATGATAGTAACAGTATTGAATTGTATGTTTCTACTACTCATTCATTCATAATTTCGATGTTCAGATGAGAAGGTGAGAGATTTCTCATATTTTGAAACTTCAGAAGGATTATATAACCAATCTATTTCTGCATTTTCCTATTTAATTGTCTTTGGACCAATCAATTTGATTGGACTTGCTGTTTTCACAGTTTTGATATTATGGTAGAGTTTTAAAAATTGACATAAGTAGTACAAAAAATATGATTTGAACTTTTAGGATGAGTAATCTTACTGAAGAATGGCTTATTGCACAGACATTCCTAATGATTGCATGTGTTGGCTCATTTTTCTTATTTCTAACAATGGTAGTTATGCTGATTATAAAAGATAATGTTAAAGTGATTGGATTCATGACAACTATAGATATTCTTCTTTTGATTGCTGGAGGAGGACACTTGAGGTTTCGATTTGATTTGATATTAAATAAAAAAAAGATATATTCAGATCATTCGTAACAATGTCACCTACTTGGTTAACATATTTTACATACTTCTCGCCATACCGTTATTCTAATTACTTCTTCATATCAAACATAATCAGCAGATTACCCATAACTAATTGCATTCGAAATGAGAAAAGCGAGGTTTCGAACTCGTCAAAGTTCTGCCGGTAGGGATAATGTGTAGTCGAGTGAAATTCAACATTTTGTAGGTGGAATATGAGCTCAAATTATTCAGAGGAGCAGTACTCGTCTGCTTTCGATCCTTATGATATTCCGAGTAACTGTGTCATCTGTTTCATGTTGTCCATCCTGTCCCTCATTTTCATGATAATGATTCATTCTTTGAAAAAATCAAAATATCTCGTAAATAAATTCAGGTTTCACTAAAAAAATATACATTTTTATTAACTATTCTGTTTTATGAATATTCTGCGGTTCAACAACAACGACTCCCGTAGGTATGTCATCTGAACACTGTAATACTTCAGGTTTCAATATTCGATACCCCTGAAAGTTGTTCATTGAGAGAGTTTTACTATTGTTTTTGTCACCTTATGGCTGGACCACAGCTGTAGTGGAGTATAGAAAGTTGTATTTGTTTTTTCTGAAGCTATCAGTCTTAACCGAGCGAACATCGGGTTATTCACTTCCGATACTCCTGAACAGGATGAAAATCTGGATAGAACAAAGTTGTTTGACCAACCTGAGACCCAATCCCAATCTTTCTTACTCCAATCAGTCTGATTGAAGAATGCTCGAGCGTTTCGTTCAGCTAGCTGAGAAGCATATTCCTTCGCTACGCTATCGAATTTAAATTTTTCCTCTTCTTTATAAAGCTCGACATAGTTTCTTTGAACAAGAGTATATTTGTCACACATCCGAGTTAGGCACAAAACTGGAAGAGGAGACAATAAGGTTGATAATGTTTTAGTATATCTTAACTACAAAGCGCAGATAAGCCCACAAAAATCACCAAAAACCAAGCCATAATTTGAGACTCTGCTTCCAAGAATGAACCATCGTGACCGTCTAATTTACATATACATTCTGGGCAAAACTACAAGAAGGAGATATGATTAATAATCTAGGTAGGAACATACTTTTCCGTTTCCACTCACAGAGTCGAAAGTCAAACTGTCTCTGTAATACACCATAATCGTTTCGTTTTTACAAAAATTAGATTTGTTGATATCACAGTATCCATGAGCTAATAAACACCGATAGTAACTGAAAAGGATGATTAAAAAACTAAATGTAGTTTGAATCTGAACCCTCCGTCCAGCAAAACAACAAACAACCAAGCTGTCGGAGCTATCAGTGATTGGACGATCAATTCAACCCAATATACGCAGACGGTTTTCCATGAATGCCTCGTCTCAGGAACTCTTCAAACACTTAATAAAGCTAGGTACTCTTCTTCCACTCTACCGGAAGCAACAACCATGAGCCAGTTTCCAGGTGGTTGTGTTTATCATAATTCCTATCAATAACAAAGCTATTGTGGGTCCGAACATAAAAACGATTGAGTGATAAATGTTCAGAGGGAACGCACACGGACAAGCGAACGTCAATTTCCGAATGAGCTGAAACAAATTATCAGTTAGATGAAAAAATAGAAGTTTCTTACGGATTGCCCTCCAATAGTTGAAACAATAAGAATTCCATTAAGCAAAATTGACCCATGATTTGAAAAAAAGTTTTGAAAAACGCTAACAACTGAATTGACACTTGTCGTCATCTTATGCTCATGATCCCACTTAAGGTTCGCATTAAACTAAATTAATCCTTTGTTTTCTGAAGTTTCTATAATAAGAAAAGTAACAACAACAAAAAAACATTTTCAAAACTATGCGTAAAAGCCGTCGCTATGGACAAAACCTCACGTCGCTTGGCAACAGCTGTCGTCGGTTAACTATCACTGACTTCCATCTCTCTCATTTTTTTCGGAACCAAGATTAAAGTACACTGTCGTTTTGTTATTTGATCTCCAATTCAATTCAAAGCTCATAAGTTTATTCGTATTAAAATATATAAAAATAACAACAGTGGTAGATCTTAAATCTCAGCTTGTCTGCATTCCAATCCTTGTTACAGCTCAGTTGTGGCATTCTAAGTGTTCCTTCTGATATGAATTGATTTTATACTTTTTTGTATTTCTTCTATGTGAAGAGTTCGACAGAAACAAAGTAAATTGTTCGTTATCAAAACTCGAATAGCTTTGCGATAAGTAACGATCGTACAGAAAATGTATATGGGACCAATGACACAAGCACAAGTAAACGATGCTACGCAGTAATGAATTCCATCTGGACAGAATATCATAGTTAGTTTGTCTACTGCTATGATTACCTGGGATAGGACTTTCGAAAAAAATAATTACAAGTAATGCAAGGAGAGGGAAGCACGTTAAGCTAATTTGAATTCCTGTCTGTAGTTATACTTGTCTCAGATGTTATACGACTTCATTACCTGGGTATATAGAACTTTTATGAAAAATGCATGACGGTTTATAGTAGAAGATGACATGTGGCTTTTCAGTTTAGCAAACCTTTGCTTGGTTAAAACCCCAAGCAATAGAATTATGAGACAGTGGCACACCACGAAACACATAGCAGTGAGAAGAAAAATGAAACATCTTATACCAGAACCTGTGAAAGAAAGGAAAATAGTGTTCTTTGAGAATAAGATAGCCGGGTCTCCTGAATATATCTTCAAACAGATATTACCGATAAAAAAAACGCAGAGTTCCAACCTTCGAACAATACGTTTTGACGATTTCAATATTCTCTAACTCCATGTAAAACGATTGAACAGGTAGGTTTACGAAGTAGCTTATAAACCATATGATTGAGAGCAGAACCGTATGAACGCTTTTAGGATTTGAGTCTTCAAAGGATAAAAGTGTGTATCTTATATAGAAGAGAAGGATGTGAACACCGAAAAGGTCTTAATTCAAAAGTAATTTCAGAATATTCCACGAAAAACTAACATGCTATCATATTAATCACGAATAGTATTTGATTTAATGTGGAGATTCCAAGAAGGCTGAGTACTCCGTTAGTACTACCAGCAATGCACGGACTGAACGGCATAGGGCAAAGTCCTAAGGTGAGCATCAGAGCGAGAAAAGAGCTCCTACGAATTATCAACTATATAAGGAAAACTTGTTGGAACTTACAGAAATGATTGAAGAAAAGAACAATATTTATAAGTTTTCGTCATGGCTGCTGGTGAAGTTCTCAAAATACAATAATATGATAAGTATATGCAGATGATAGATATTGGTACCAAAGAGGACATGATGACCAAGTAAGGGAGAAGCATTCAGCTTTTGAGTTTGTTAATTATAAAACTTATTACAGTATGGAGCATATACCTATAGCTTTCTTAACTATAACAACACACCAATTGTATGCAACTTCAACGTACATCAGATTGGAATAGTGAACACATAGAATACGTATTGTTGGTATGATTTTCAAAATTTCTGTTCCTTATATGAAGGAAGAAAGTTTTGAATAATTATTTTCTACAAACCTAATTTTCACATTCTCGAATGAGTTTCATTCTTTAAAATATCTCTGGCCTTTATCTTGATGATCAACTTGAATTCAAAGATCAACAATGTTTTTCATATCTTTCAGACAATAATTAAACTTTTCGATCAAAAATTTAATAACTCAAAGCATTTGGTCGGATGACTTCTTCGAATTTTTATCACACGAATCGTTGTCAGGACAAACTAGAAGAGGGGTTGCTGCAAAAGCTCCTAAAGAGCTACCTAAAAAATATTTTTATTTCTTCAATGTTAACTAAAGCCTTACTCAAGCTTTCTCCTTTGCCAGGTCGCTTGGGTCCGATGGAACCTAGAAGTGTAGCTGTTGTAGATCTTCCAACGATCGGCTTAATCTCATGAGGTTGAAGAACTCTCCTTCTTTTTTTCGGTAGTTTAGATCTGAAATATTTATCAGACAACATTTATAAAAACGTCTTACCTAGCTTGAGCATGAGAGTAAAACATTGCAAAATTGGAAACAATGACTGGAACAGGCAAGGCGATAGTGAGTACACCCATCAGAGCGCAAACCGATCCTACCATTCTACCTAGATAAGTTTTCGGCACCTTAAAAAAAGTTTGTCAAGATAGATCCATTTACAATCTTACTAAATCTCCAAATCCAATCGTACAAATTGTAATAACTGCCCACCACAATCCGACAGGTATGGAATCGAACTGGTTATCAGGGTTATCTTCCACCCTCTCTGCATAGAAAACGAGAGCAGCAAAAATAACAATTCCAAGTAATACAAAGAAAACCAAGAGAAACAACTCCTATATGGAAAAAAACATATTCATTATATAAATGAAAAAAGAAACCTGGGCGGAGGCTTTGAACGTCTGAATGAGAATTTTGAGACCTGTTGAGTGCTGAGTAAGTTTGAAGAGCCGTAAAACGCGAATAATGGAAAAAAATTCGACCGAATCTCTGGATGTTGAGAGTTATTACCAGAAAGAAAGATTATTTCAAAACCTGTTCGATCCTGTTAAAGCTGAGTCCAAAGCCCAATCAATATAGAAAGATAGGGTGGCTATCATATCAATAATATTTACTGGTGTTTTCAAAAAGTTTCCAACTCCCGGACAAAACCACATACGGACAAAGAACTCTCCCGTAAACCAAACATTTGAAATGAGTTCCAGATAAAAAAAACCCGGAGCGGGTCTTAAGTAAGAAAGAAATCCAACGATCTTAATCCTTTCCTTCTTACCTGTTTGCTGTTTTCCCCACAAAAACAGTACCTGTCGTGTTGAACTTGACCACGTCAATATTAGGAATCCTCCAATCCGGATGAGTTTTCAAACAAAAGCAAATGATGGAAATTATGACGAAGAATATATTAATGACTGAGATTATCTGAAATCAGAAATAATCTTTTGCTTTTCTTCACGTTACTCTTTGGACACCCTTTCCTTCAGAATTGTATAAACACTCAATTGCCTCTCTCACGAATGACCATTCACACCCTTTCTTACTATATAATTTTCTAAAATTTTCTGTTAAGAATTAAGAAATATGTTCAAGCATTTCAGGCAAGTACAAGCAATTATCATTCCGTGATGTTAATTTATGAAAAAGCCAGGCAACTTCAAGCATACATGTCAGCATACCTGTCTCTCTTCTGTCAAAACTTGCTTATTACCTGTAAAAGTGATTGAATAAAAGTTAATTTTATCTATTTATTATTAATAAACAAACAGAACTATACAGAATAATAATTTAATGAAAACAAATGACAAAAAAAAAGAATAAAAATCTTTGAGATCTGATCACAGCTTGTGTTTTTGAAATTTAACAAAAAAAAATTTCAATCTCTTCTCTATAAATAATTTCCTTAATTAGCTTAATATATGCTAATTAAATGCAAAAATCTTGATAAAACATCTGTTTTTACAACCAAAAAAGAAGGATTATTTCCTTCTGATTTCGGGATACCCGTATTGATTTAGCAAGAGAGCTACTTCAAGCACTGGTTTTTCATTGAGAACTGTTAACGCGAAACAACATACTATTCAAGCAATTTTTTGGAATGTTCAGAAGATGGTTGACCATTGTGATTCTTTGTATTGCAATGGTGACTACTATTCATTTGTGGTAAATTAGTAGATGAAGACTTTTTACGATGTTTTGGAAGAACTGGCTTAACTCCAAGCATTGATGGTTTAACTTCATGAGCCTGAAATGCATATTAAACTTTCGCTACGCTTGTTAGATTTTCCGAATATAAGAAAAAATATTGAACCTGCAGAACACGTCGACGTTTCTTTGGCAGTTTAGCTCTGGCTTGAGAATGAGAATAAAGGTTGGAAAAATTGGAAACAATGACTGGAACGGGCAGAGCAATTGTGAGGACACCCATAAGTGCACACAAAGATCCAACCACCATGCCCAAGTACGTCTTCGGTACCTAAATTAGTTATAAACTTGTCAAATGAATTATATAATTATGAACCATATCCCCGAAGCCAACAGTAGAAATTGTTATCAAACTCCTGCAGAATGAATAATACTGATTAATAAATAAGAAAAAAACAATATCGTACCACCACAAGCCAGCTGGTATGCTTGTAAATTGATTATCAGGATTCGGTTGACTTCTTTCAGCATAATAAACGAGAGCAGCAAAAATAACGATGGCTAGGAGAACAAAGAAAACCAACAGAGCAAGCTCTTGAGCAGAAGCCTACAATTGAAAAAAATCACTAAATGAAACTCTGACGTATCATGTTGAACTGTATGCAAAATTTTGGGAGAGAGTATATTGAAATAACCGTACCTTGAAAGTCTGAATTAAAATTTTGAGACCCGAAAAATGCTGTGTGAGCTTGAATAATCGAAGTACGCAGATCATTGAGAGGAAATCAATAGTAACTAAAGACCCTAAAGAACTGAGATAGTTTCATTACAAATTCAAGAAAGCTGACCGGTTTGCACTAAAATTGCATGAAGAAGCCATTCAAAATAGAAAGCTGAGGTAGATATGACGTCAATAATTGTGATAGGTGAGCGTAGGAAACGATGAATAGATGGGCAGAAGAGAAAACGAATAAGCTGTAATGATACGAAAATTTTTAATTAGATCCGATGAACTCACTAGTTCAAGTGTGAACCATGCATTACATATTAAGTCCACATAAAAAAAGTATGGATGAGGTCCTGTGTAAGGCTTGTGAGTACCGATAGCTTTGGCAAAAGTACTGTAACCTTCTCCATTCATGATACGAAAACCATACTCGACTGAAATATTGTTTTTGAAATGAGAACAAGATTCCTCACGAATGAGTTGAAACATACTCTGTATTTGAGGAATTTGGAAAGATGGATGGGTCTTGAGCATGAAAGATATTGTTGAAGCAAGTATAAAAAAAACAGAACAGCAACTAATAATCTGAAAAAAAAATTTCATTCAACCGAAGTTCGATGTGTTAAAATGAAAAAAAAGTGAATGATTATGTGAAAACCATACGTATAGACAGTATAGTTAAAGCAGTTAAAATCAAGCCAAAAACGTCATTCTGTTAGTGAAGTGTGAAATGGAAACAACAACTTTTCCACATAATTATAATTGTTTCAGGCAAAAGTAGAGAGAAAGAAAAGTTTAAGCATCATCAACATCATCAGCAACACATGCAATCCACTTAAGAAAAAGTAATCTTTTGTTTTTTTTTAAATTTCAGTTCAATTCTTCTTATTTTTCTGAAATAATACCTTCCATCTCTCTATAATCTTCATTTGCGTCATTCTCTCTCTTTCTCTCATCGTTTTTTTTCCTATCAATTCTTACGATTTTTCTTGTGTCAGTTCTCCCTCCCCAAGATTCCGAGTTGTGAGGAAGTTTAATTCCATATTGGGTATAACACTTACTCGAGCATACTGTGAACTCCAAGGTTCATCAAACAATGCCCATATCCTTGGCTTTATTTGTTGCCATTTCGATAAAGTTCCCGAATAGTAATCATCTTCCCATCCAAACTTCTTGGCAATCTGTGAAAACGCTGTTCATTAATCATGTTCGAGATAATAGTGTACCTCTTCCTGGGTGGGAGGGTCACCATCTAAGTCTAAAGATTCAATAACTGCTAAAGTGTCTTGTGTATCTCTTAAATGAAAAATACTATGAAGGAACAAACACAATTTGTGTATACCTATGTTGAGTGTATGTCATCCAACAACAAGGCTCCACCTGATTGGCATCCAGACCCCAAAACTCTAATTCTTCCTCGAATAAAGGTCCACAAACATTTGTTGGATAGTGTAGCTTTCCTTGAATGAAAAATTATCTGTTGGAGAACAGAAAGGCTGGAGTACCTGTTCGATAATAATTTAAAATCATAGAAAACACCCCTGGATGTCGATCAAAAAAATATTCATTCAATACTGGGTCATAATTAGCCAAATTTGGAGTTAATCTTAATGTTTATGATGACGTAAACGATGTTATAACATTCTTACCTTGATAATCGTGTTGCAGGAATTTTTTTGAGTACGTGTGTATAAGTTTCGTGACGAATCCCTCCGACGTTCAGAATTACCCGATGCTCCGTGTCCATCCAGGACTGAAATAAAAATTAATTTAACATCACTTGTGAAGAAAAGTGTGCTTCAGTTGCAAATTCTTTTATGATCATTAATTTGTTGGACTAAAATATAATTTCATTGCAAAACATTTTCAACAATGCTCTTTTAAAGTAGAGGACAGCAAGATGAAGAGGAAGTAGACGAAGAAGCAACTAGAAAATAAGAAACCTCCTATTGGAAGCAAAAAGTTGTTCAATGAAGACGTTTTGTAGGAAAACAATCAAACTAAGCGATGAGTCCAAAAGAAGACATTTGTTGAGAGTTGAAGGAAACGTTTTTGAACTGACAGAGGATAGAGATAGATTGAAAACATAATAGTGAATGAGAAAAAGAGGGTAGAAGAAGCTGTTAAGAAGAAGAAAAGGAAAGAAAAGAGAATGGACAAGTCCGTAATAGCTTGGGTGAGCTTTAGTTATCCGGTTTAGCTTTACTATCTTTTCTTTGAGGAGAGCCTTCTCCCTTCAACGTCTGATCCACGATAGAAAAGCATTAAATTTCATTTTAACAACTTAAGCTCAAGTCCTTCATATGGTCATGTGAGGATAGTTCTTTTGGTAAGAATTAGAGAAATGAGAGGCAATTTGTAGTCGAAGGTTTAAATAAAGAAACAAAAAAAAAGCTTTCAATACACTATTTGAAGTTGAGATGAGCAAGTATAAATGCTCTAAACAGTTGAACAGATTCCAAATAACTTTGATCTTCTCTCCACGTAACTTTTTCAAACTTCCATTTGAACTTTCTTATTTGACAGAAACAGCGAAAAATAAAAATAACATTCGTTGGTTTCTTTTTTCTGTGAGGTTTTGTTGCATTCAGTGCATTTTCTTCATGAAATTATCAAATTAAAGGAGTAATGGTGTAAGTGAAGAGGTAAAAGGATAGAGTGAGAGATAGAGGAGTAATAGATTGGAAGAAAAAGTACGATTGAGGTGAAGGGCAGATGCGAGAATGAGGGTGGGACGAGTTTCAATCCCCAAATAAAACGAACAGGCCTGCCGGGTTAATTGTTCGGCTTTTCTTCCAAAAACGGAAATTCGAGCTGTTCGTCTCATGGCTCATTCCTTCTTACAGCAGCTCCATGTCTTTAAAATCTTTAAGAAGATGGCTTCGGATAGGCGTTTGCTATAAAATTCCGAAAGGTGTCTCAACTCTATGAGACATTGTGAGCAAGTTAGAAAGCCGTCTAATAAGCTCGAAGTTGCAAAACATGAAAATTATTTTTTATCCTTAATGATGTAGGTCTGGACGAAGGCGGAAATGATATGATGGACAATTCGCTCATTAATCTCAGCGAAACAATTATTTTTGACAAATAGTTGGATTAATGTTCTACAAATAGTGCAATTATTTGGAGAAATAATTGTTTTTGCTGTTGTTCAAACGCTTATTTACAAGGTTTTTGCTTTTTGTTAAAGCGGCTTATAAGCTGTTTCCTTAGAGTTCTTCCATTCATATCATCACAAGCAATTTAGAGGTGAATCGAAGATAATTTTAAAATATTGTAAGTCATTGGAAATAAGAAAAATAAAACAGAAAAGAAAGAAATCAGAGCTGAATGATGTAAAAAGAAAGAGAGAGAGAGAGAGAGAGAGAGAGAGAGAGAGAGAGAGAGAGAGAGAGAGAGAGAGAGAAT